GGGAGAGAGAGGAGGTAGGGATGGCTCAGATTTGTAGTATCTTGGATTCAAGGTACCTACCTACCTGACTCACAGCCATCGAGTGGATTCTGACTCGTAGCAACCGGATAGGACAGAGGAAAACTGCCCATGCGGGTTTCTGAGGGTGTAAATCGTTATGGGAGCAGAGAAGCTCTTTCTTCCACAGGTTGGTTGGAACTGTTGACTTTGAAGTTACCTACCCAATGTGTAAGCCACTATACCACCCAATTCCTGGGAGGTCAGATTCCTAAGAGATGCAGATGCAGCTATTGGAAATATTGATCCGAGTTGAGAATTGTCACTTGCATTAAGAAGAAAAGAAAAAAAAAAGCTTAGGGAGTCAAACAGGGTGAGAAGTTTTCATTTCTGTCATTATTGCAGATGAAGGGTAAAGCATTAGTAACCTGTCTTCGATTTTGCAAAGAAATACGACTACAACTTCTTGACTTAGAAATCTTAATTTAAGTATTATTTCAGGCAAAAGTCATTCAGTGAGATAATCAGTCAGACCTGTAGAGCTTCTCATGGGGAAATGTTACTTTCAACTGGTTTGTGTTGAAAATAACACTGGCAGGGCTGCTTGATGGTCTGCTTCTCTGAGGCTGCGGGAAGCGAACGGCTTCTTCCTTCATATTGGGGTAAGCTTTCTTTCCCTGACTCTTAAAAGGCCTACCGTTTTAAGGCTAAGCATGGGAATGCCACTAGCTTCCAACAAGAGAAGACAAGGTGCGCATGACTGGCGTGAAACGTGCATGTGAGAAAGAACAGGGCAGAGTAACACTTCTAGGCACCATTGGATTCGTGGAGCATGCTGAGTTTTGCATCTACAGGGTAAGTGGACGTGGAGGTACGCAAGTGATTCAATATGGGCAAGTCCTGGACGTAGATGAAGACCAAGGAAGACAGTGAATGGTGAGCTCAGGAAAAGGTTCATTGGGTACCAGTGTTTGTCTCAGTTCCAGTTTGCCTTGACCAGGGGCCACAACGGAGACCGCAAGCAAGGGCTTCTTGTCCAGGGCCAGTGGTCTTTTTGGTGAATTAAGGCTGAATTAAAGTCACCTGCTGATTCAGCAAGGCACCAGGGTGGTTCCAATAGATGTGCACACAACTGCTAATCAAAAGGTTGAAAGGTTTTCACTCACCCAGCGGCAACAGAGCCAAAAGATCTGGTGCATTGCTTCCATCAAGATGACAGACAAGAAAAGCCGATGAAGCAGTTCTGCTCACACACGGGGCCATCGTGGGTCAGAACCAGCTGCAGGGCACTGGGTTTGATTGTGTTGTGTGTGTGCACGTCTCTGCTTGTGAGTCATCGCCCTGTAACTATACTTTTAAAATCATTATTGCCACGAGGATGTTTTGGCTTATTGGCGTTCCACTCCTGGCCGATACATCCCAACTCCATGGGAAGAATCCCTGTCCCTGCAGGCTTTTGAGTGCTTGCCGTGCCTCCTCGGGGTCTTGTCTCTCCCCGAGCCCCTACGCTTGTTTCCTTTCGGCCTCTCCTCTACCTTTTCCTTGTTTAGACCATCTCACTGGGCCCAGGCAACCTCTTCGTCAATCTCGTCTTCTCCTCTCCATCCTCTCCCATCTACTTTGCGCACGTCTGCTGTAGCGGTATTTCTCAAACATAGGAACAGTGTCACCTTCTAGCTTAAAACAAAACAAAACAAAAACCTCTTTCCCTCCAGTGGAAAGTATGAATTTACATACTACTCAGACATAGATGGACGCTTCTCCATCACAGACGCTCTACTTTCTAACCAATTGTAAAGTAACAGCTTTATTGTTCCCCCAACTTTCACTTCTAAAGTTGAAAGTTCATCCAACTTTAAAATCTCTAGCTTTAGGAACCACCACCTAACTCGGTCACAAGCCGCTCTGTAAAGCCAACCCCCATCTCCCCAGGAGGAGTTTCTCTCTCTCTGGGCCAAGTGCTTCTTCAGCAGCTAAACACTCATTGCTTTGGTGTTGTAACATTTGTACGCATCTTTTCTTCCACTCTAGGCTATACTTGCCCATAGTGTTTATCCTAGTGCACCAAGACATAGCTATTTATGAATAAATAGCTATTTATGAAAAAAAATAGCTAGTTATGAATAAAAATATTAACGTTTCAACAGTTCATGCACCTCCCCACCCCCCCACCCAGGAGCTCCAAATTGGACCCTTCACAGAAAGAGAAACATGGCAGTCTGGCCCTTCTTCAAGCTGTGGAACGGCTGTCAACCAACTCTCTTTCAAATGACCTTCGTCTCAGCTCTCTTGGCTACTGTTCTTGGTGAGTAATGAGGGACAAGTTCGAGCTGGCAAAAAATAAGATCATCTACACCTTCTTTGTTATGGCTAATAAAGAGAGGAGTAAATTTCTAACCTAAGACCCCCGGTGGTGTAGTGGGTTATGCACTGGGCTGCCAACCTCAGGTTCAGTAGTTTGGAACTACCAGTTGCTCCACTGGAGAAAGACAAGGCTTTCCATTCCCGTCAAGAGTTAAGGGTCTGGGAAACGTACACGGGCAGTTCTACAGGGTTGCTGTGAGTCAGAATCGACTCGATGGCAGTGGGTTAGGCTTGTTTCGAAGGTTCTAGCAGACATACAGCTTCAGGAACATAGGGCTTATTTGACAAGCTGGGATTTCGGGATTTTGCGTTACACACAAGGGGCCATTTTCTAGACAATTCCTCCTAAAGTTTCTTCTTAATTTCCGAGAACAGTTGACACCTGATCATGATTTAAAGCAAATCTAAAAACAACATTCACTGCTGTGTGCTTACACAGAGTAGTGAGGTGAGGTATATACTTCAATTGGGGCTCCTAAAAGGTAAATCCATTCTGTAAGTAATTCTTGGTAGAGAAGCAGATTAAGGTGTTCATGTTTCAAGGACTCAGTGCTTCATCTTCCTTATCAAGGCATGAAAAGATATATATATATATATATATATCCCCCCCAGAGTTTAGAAGGCAGGTGTTCTCTTTCTGTTATAAGATGAGCACAATATTGATGCATAATCAGATATAGACTGCATACAAAAATCCAACAGCTGAGGCATAAAAATGATTTTATGTGATTTCCTCTTTTGTGGAAAGGAATAAAGTGCCATTCTTACTTGTCTTCCACCCCCCTAGATTCTCTTTTCTGGGCCACCAAGGGGATGTAGTTGTGTCATTACGAAGGCAGTAACTGTTACTCCTGTTGAGGCTCAATTGTAGGCCCTCTGGCATTGCACGGATACGTCTGGGTGAATAGACACACGGCGCCCGATGGGCAGGCGAAGTCTGTTTGTCATCACAGTTGTATAAACTACCTCTTATTTACTAGTGATGACAAACCTCTGCCTATAGTCGTTACTATTTATAATTCTCAGTGTCTTCATCATTTATCAGCAGACACGTATTGCTAATCACTCATCAGGCTCATTGGACAGTGGGGAGCCAGGGGTCACGACAGGAGCAGCAGCAGCGTGGATCCTGCTGTAAAAACCGGGCTACTGCACTGCTGGGGTATGGTGGGCGCTGTACCTGATGGTGCTCTCGATCATGTTTGTGTCCAGGTGACTGTGGCCCCCCGCCCAAATTATCATTTGCTTTCCCAATCAATATGGTGAATGAGACAAGTTTCAAAACGGGGACTACTCTGAAGTATCAATGCCGCCTCGGCTACGGTCGATCTAGCTCAAGCACGCACCTCACCTGCGACATCGGAGGAGTTTGGAGCTACAGCACCTTCTGCATCAGTAAGCACCAGCACTTGTTTTGTTCACTTGTGCCTTCTCCTTCTTTGGAAAGTTGTCTCAGGAGGCAAACAGCCTCCGAAATGCTGATGGGAATCTTTGAGTGTCTGTTTTCAGTGCATGTGTGTGTGCCACTCTAGAAAAGTAAAACAGAAAAACATAGGAGCTAGTTAATTACAAGGACATAGAAGTCTATTGCTTACAAAACTGTCCACCAAGCACTTCTTTCAAGAATTGAATGGTATATTTAATTTTAAGATCTTGACAATGAAATTCATTTTACACACACACACACACACACACACACACACACACACCTTGCATCTTCCAAAGGAGGCTCACCTGAAATGTTTGCTGTGTTTGGAAGACGATGCGGCCATTCACCCTCAGTTGGGGATGCATTCAGAGATGCTTTTCCAGCACTAAGGCTATGTAGGGGCCTTGTAGTGCAGTGGTTATGAGTTGGGCTGCGAACTGCAAGGTCACTAGTTTGAAACCGCCAGTCATTCAGAGGGAGAAAGAGGAAGCTTTCTACAGTAAAGGGTTACTGTCTCAGAAACCCATAGGAACGGTTCTGCCTTGTCTTAGAGGGTCGCTGTGAGTTGACATTGTCTCAATTGAAGGGCATTTGGCGTTGTCCTTTCATGGTATACAATTGAAACCCTTTTTTGTTGTTGTTCCATTTGTGACCAAGGACACTGAGTAGCGCAAGTTAAAAGGACACGCAATAGACAAATTAGAGCAGTGTTTCCTAAATCAGGTATACTGCCCCCTGGGAGTGCTGGAAAGACCCAGGGAGGCTGTACAAGCAGATGCCTACACTTTATCCTGGATCATGGACTATTCAGTACAAAATAGTCCAGAGGTGAACACCCCTGCTCTCAGAGAGCAATGTAAAGTCGATTATGGCAGGTGCAGTTAGATTAACATGTACCAACTTATCATCTGATCTCCCTTTTGCCCATTTTAGATTTCAGTTTTTAAGATATTTTATGTTCTTTTCAATTGAGATTTTCTCCAATTTTTCAATGTTGTTGACTTTGGGTTTTTTTTATTTGTTTGTTTCTTGATTTTGTTTTGTTGTTTCTGTATATTAAATCCAGAATAGATAAATTTCTGGGGTCAATAACTGGATTAAAAACTACCTAGGGGCATGGCAGTGGAGGTTGCGGGATGTGGGAGTTGGAAAAATGAATATGAGAATAAAGAAGATGTTCTAAAATTGATTATGGTGAGGATTGCATAACTCTTCTTAACAGGATTCAACTTGTATTAGACAGGACTTATATGCCAATGAACTTGTAATAAAACAAAATAACAACAAAAGTTGTTAATTACCAATGGGCACTGAGTAATTTTTTCAAAAATGGGCAGCAGGCTGACTAAGTTTGGGCACCTATGGATTAGAGCAAAGCTTCCCGGTTAGCATGTTAAATCCTGGACCATCGCTCTGTGGTTATTGGTGTTGTCAGTTGCCACCGTCAGTTCTGCCTCATGGAGACCACGCGTGCAGAGCAGAACTGTTCGGTAGCATTGCCATGGTTGTGACCATTTGGAAGCAGATCTGTCTTTCAATGTGTTTCTGGGTGGTTTTGAACTAACCTTTCTGCCAGTAGTCAAGTGCTTAACTGTTTACCCTCCCCTCCCCCACCCCCCAAAAGGACTCTGATCTAATTGAGCAGAGGCGAGGACACATTTTTTCTTTATTGATCAAATGTATCTGGAAAAAAAAAAAAAGAAAGAAAGTGACATCCAAATTTGCATTCATTTTTCTTCTAAATAAGATGCTGAGTCAGGAGCAAATCTCAAGAAATAAGATTGACCAGGAAGGGAAGGGGAAGGTGGGGAGAGAAAGGGGGAACCGATCACCAGGATCTACATAGAACCCCCTCCCTGGGGGATGGACAACAGAAACGTGGGTGAAGGGAGACATCGATAAGTTAAGACATGAAAAAATAAAAATTTATAAATTATCAAGGGTTCGTGAGGAAGGGAAGGGTTCGTGAGGGAGGGAAAAAATGAGGAGCTGATACCAAGGGCTCAAGTAGAAAGAAAATGTTTTGAAAATGATGATGGCAACAAATGTACAAAAGTCCTTGACACAGTGGATGTAAGTGTGGATTATGATAAGAGTGCAGGAGCCCCCAATAAAATGATTTAAAAAAAAAGAAAGAAAGAATTTGAACTTGAGTTGCTTCATCTCTTTGGAAGCAGAAATTCAAGTGGACCCGTCATACCTCTTTTCTAATGGTCTACTTCTCAGTGCTTGGAATATCATTGTTTGACTTTTTTATTCCCCCCCAGGAAAACGATGCAGAAACCCAGGAGAAATACCTAACGGCCAAGTGGAAATTAAGACAGACTTAAGTTATGGATCACACATAGAATTCCGCTGTTTAGAAGGGTGAGTATGAGGTAATCAAGAAAAAGAATTATTTTAAATGAGTTAAAAAAAATAGCTATTGTAGTCAGATTTCTAAAAATTTGGTTGGTCTGTTAAGGTAACTATCACTTCCACTCCATTGCCCACAAATCCCATTCCTTTCTGTCTGTAGGCAAGGATACACTGCTTTTGGCCTTTTAAAAAAATGTGTATTTTTGTGTGTTTCCTTACACAAACAAAAGTGAAGAAATCAATATGTATTTATTTTTCTCCCTTTCCAATATCAAATGTAGTTCTACTTCATGCCTTATTGTATTTACTTGTCATTTATATTTACATGTGTTTGCATAGAGATTCCTTATTCATCTCCTTTTATAATTCCATGCAATGTCCTTACATCCTTGTATCATAAGAAGCTCTGGTAGCATAGGGAGTAAGTACATGTTTGGCTGTTACCCAAAAGGTCAGCAGTTTGACCTTATCGGCTGCTCCGTGGGAGAGCGATGTGGCAATGTGCTTCTGTAATGATTCTCATTCACTGCCAGAGCTGATTCTGACTCATCGTGACCCTATAGGACAGAGTAGAACTGCCCCCACAGGCAGTTCCTGGAACAGAAAGCCTCATCTTTCTCCCAAGGAGCAGGTGGTGGTTTCAAACAGCTCACTTTGTGGCTAGCAGCCCAAACATGTAATCCAGACTGCCAACAGACCTAGGTTGCTAACTGCAAGGAGACTTTCTCTTCCCGTAAAGTTCTACCGACTCAGAAACCCACAGGGGTAGTTCCACCCTCACCTACAGGGTCTCTGTGAGTCGGCATAAACTCAATGGCAGCAATTTGGGTTCCTGTAGAGATTGCAGCTCTGGAAACCCCACGGCAAAATTCCACCCCATCATTATTGGGTGGCTACGGGCTGGGATGGACCCAATGACAGTGGGCTTAGATGCGCTATGGCACTAGCAACCCCTCGATGGAATGTTGGGTATTTTCAATTGTATTTTTGTGTACAAGTGCAGTTATATCTGTGGAGTAAATTCCCAGAGTGGAATTTCTGAATCAAAGAACATTGATATTTGAAATTTTTCAAATGGCCGTGTTGTCCCCTGTAGGTTACACAGTTTTTTACAGAGTTCACAAATATGAGATTTTCCATCAAACCTCCAGCAGAGTGTGTTGGCAGACTTTTGAAAATTTGTCAAAGATTTGGATTTTTGCCAATTTGAGAGATTAGAATGACATCTCACTATGGTCTTGAGGTTTGAGAGATTGGAATGACATAGGTTTCATATTTAAGAGATTAGAATGACATCTCACTATAGTTTTGATATATAGTTTTCTTATTGTGAACTTGTTTGAGCAGCTTTTTCAATGTTCAAGGGATATTTTAATTTATTGGTCAACTATCTAGTCATGACTTCTGCCTATTTTTCCTATTAATATTTTGGATTTTTTCTTTTTAGGGGATATAGATATATCCCCTAAACACACACCAAACAAACAGATAAAAGCTCCATTGGGCAGAGCTTTCATAGTATGCATTTTTCTCACTGGGCGAGCATTGAGCAACTCACTCTGAGTTAGTGCACACAGTGGTGTCACCTGGGAAGGTTCTTTCTGGTCACAGTGACTTTCTTTTGTAAAAGCCATTTTGCTAGAACCTTGTTTTTTGTGATGAATGATTTAAGAGAACAGTGTGTGGCTGTGAAATTTTGTTTCCTGCTTGGGAAAAATGCCACAGAAACTGTTGTGATGTTGAACACAGTTTACAAGGATAACACTTTGGGGGGAAAAAATCAAGTGTACAAGTGGTTTTCTTGTTTCACAAAAGGTGAAATGTTGATTGACGACAAACCTTGTTTTGGAGGTCCGTCAGTTTCCCGAATGAACAAAAATGTA